AAAACAAATGTCTCCGGATGAAAAAGAGGAACCATGCACAGATGCAGACTGTGAAAGACAAACTCCCGAAAATATCCAGAGTCTAAAAAAAAAAACAACCAACGTTACCAATCACAGGTTGTGATTGTGGCTGTAAACTCTCATCAGAAAGTTTGACCTGCTCTGACTCCTCGTCTTCGCTCTGTGTGTTGACTGAAGCAGCTTCTAATTTGAATTCATTACTCTCCTTCTTGCTCGCATGTAAATGAGACCAGATGCACAGAGGGAAAAGCTTTTTCTGGGCCGTCACTCATTCACGGTCATTATGACTTTATTCACCGAGTGTTTTCATGCTAACAAGACCACGCACAGCCGGGCTGTTTCCTCCCGTCGCCTAGCAACGGCTGCTCAGTCTGCGAACAAACCAGCGAACGCTCTGGGTGAATTTCTCGTCTTTTCCACTTCCTCAGCTTTTTGGCCGTTTGTCCTTCAAGAAGAAACTAAGAACCTCGTTTTTAATTGTCATTTGGAGAATGAATGGGCCAGAGATTTGTAAATAAGAACACGAGTATTGTGAACAGTTTATTTGTGTGAGTGAAACTTTGGACATCGAATCTGCGTCAGAAGAAATATGTTTATATATAAAACAGTCCTTCACTGTTTTAAGCCAGATGGATCAGTCGGCCGAGGACCATGAGTGGATATGAGTGTTTCACAGACACGTTGGTTTCTACAGAAATTATACAAATCACACGTAAAGAATAAATAATTTATCCACTTTGTCTTGTTACGTTTCAGTTTAAACACCAACAGAATAAAAAATAATCTTATATATTATCATGATATCACTGATTTGGTAGTGATGGTTTCACTAGACTTTAAATTGAATCACTGTTTCATCTCTGCCAGACACACACACACACACACACACACACACACACACACACTGTATGTTAAGTCGTTTCAATGGCCCCAAGTTATTTAGTCTCTTGTGTGTTTACCTTCCATATGCTGCTGTAATCACTGCTCTATTGCTACTGTACACACACACACACACACACACACACACACACTGTGCATGTGGTGAACGTCTCTGATTAGATGACAACATGTTCTGGTCCGTTCTCTCAGAAGGTGAACTGGCACCTGTGAAAACCTGCTGCTTACTTTTTTCAGTTTCAAACCTCCCGAATTTCCGCCTTGAATTTCTGATTCTCCAGCATTTTAAAGGTTCTGACTTTGGTCTCGTTAGAATCCGTTTCCTCGCTGTATTCAATCAGAGTTGCGTTGGCAGGATTAGAGATGAGAAATTTATATTAATGTGCCAAAGACCAAAAGAGGCAAATGTTGAAGTGTGGACGAGAGTGAAACAGGTTTTAAATTAAAACCAAAATGATCAGAAAACACGAGCATGTTAACAAACATCAGATAAGAACTACCTACAAGGACAGAAAACACTTGTCCCGTCCACTAACATGGAGGAGGCCGGGTTTTATGACAGCCACCAGGGGGCGATCCATCATTTGGCTTCGCCTTTGCGAGCTGTCAGCGAAGTCTAGAGCCTCTTTATTGAATCCTCATCTCCTGCTCACATTAACTCTCCCGTATTAAAAACACTTGGAGAGGTTTCAGAACGAGGGCCCATGTGTTTTAGTGCAGCTCCAACACTCAGACACATTTATTATGAAGCATATTTAAGAAGTGATGAGTTAATATCAACAGCAGCTGCGTTTGTCCGCAGACGTTTTTAGCAGCAGATGAACGGAGCGGAGCATCGCGGGGCTTCTGCTGCTGCAGCGACACAGTGACTGCTGCAGAGAAGAAAAAACAACATCATGCACAGATGTGGTGTTGAAAAGCTCCGGCTGAATAAACGCAGTAAAGAACTCTTGACATTAATACGTCTATGGGACAGTTGACCGTTCACTTGTGTAGACGGAGCGTCGAGTCTGAAGTTTTGTCTTCAAACATGATGCGTCCTGACTTATTTAAAGATCTGTCCCGAGGCGGGGAGCACACAACTATGTGATATGTGATTTTCACATTGTGGGGAGTCAGCACCGCTCGGTGAGAGACAGTCGACCTCAGCAGGGACGGACCGCGAGCTGCAGGTTTTGCAGGATTTTTGAGGATTTGAAGCTTCGGAGCAGTTTGAGCCTCTAGATTCAATCAGACATGTTTGTTTTCTGTGTTTGGAAACAGACGACGAGGACGAGTTATAAGAATCGACAAATATAAAGATCTCAGGGAAAGAAAGAAAGAAATACACAGGTTTACAACAAAGATACAATTGTACAACCTTAGTATTTATTCCAATAAAATATTCTTATTCTGATTTCAGTACCTGTAAATTGTTGATGTATTTATGTATAACATGATTCATTTGATCAACCTTGTTCCCTCGAAATTACACAACTTAAAATGACAACAAATAGAATAATCCAGAGCTCAAACCACAGTCTTAAACATCTCCGTCACGACCGGAGATTTCACTGCAGTATTCTGGATCAGGTTGTAGTACTTTTGCTTGGTGGGATAAATAAACTACAGTACTCAGACCTGGGAACTTGAAAAACCGCCGCAGGAAAAGGCCGAGGTCGACGACTGAGACTGAACGGTTCCATACAGGAACCAAACCTCTGCTGGTGAACAGAGAGAGCTGCAGGATCACAGCCAAACCCAGCGCTGACTCACCATCGCTTTCCTGTCAAAGTGTGTGTGTGTCTGTGTGTGTGTGTGTGTGTGTGTGTGCATGACAGCTTCCTGTGTGTGTGTTGAAATGACAAAAGCTGTTTCCTCCTTGTACAGTACAAATGAGACACACACACACACACACTGTGTTTTATGCTGTGGATGTTGGCAGCAGATTCTCTTCTCTCTGTTCTTTCCTTTATTTCCTGGAACACAATCACTTCTCTTTCTATGCAAGTCATTTACATTTGAATATGAAGACGCACAAATACAAACTTGTCTCCATTTTGCAACCAGTCAACTGTGTCTCCATCATGGAGGAGCAATGTTTCAAACCACGACCCTGTTGATGCTCCGTCCGTCGGCTGGTTTGTTTTTAAAGTGATTTTACTTCGTGAAGGTGCAGCTTTGTTCCTGTTGGATTAAATTCAAGTTCCTAGTTATTTGTTTTTGTCCCTGAACTGGGACACAGCTTTAGTCTGTCCCAGGTGATTATTATAACAAAGGACGTCTAATTTGAACGGGCTCTGTTTTGACCCGTGTCTCATCCTAGTTTAGTGGAAACCTGGATCTGTAGTTTTTTTGTTGCGTAATCCTGCGGACAACAAACAGAGAAACAAAAAGATAATTAATGACGTGGATAAATGCAGGAGGGCTCCTCTGAACATGATATTTGTTTGAACGGGGTTTTAAATGTGGACATGTTGAGCCTGGAACACATGCATGAATGAACACATGGCACGTCGACTGAAGATTCTGCAGTAGAAATAAAAGTGTGACACCACAGCTACACTGCAGTTATTTACACTGAGCCTCTTTAAAGGACCGCACCAGTGGTCCAGCATGATTTATGTTATTTACTACAACTCACACAGACTTAAAGTCTCAGCTAACGATTCTGATGTATGTTTATCATTATTATTCTTTATGTTTTATTCCAGGCATCTGGTTTTCATTCATTTCTTTACAACGCAGTGACATTAGCAACCGTCTGAGAAGATTTAATGTCATCAACCAAAAGTTGCTGCTTGAAAATGCAGACTTGTGCCGAAGCAGTCTGCAGAATTAATGCTTTGACTTTTACTCTTTTGGTTTTCAAATTCATACTTGAGCCATTTTCAAGAGTCTGTCATGGAACGTCTCAGCTTCAAAACCATACAAGGAGCATTTGAAAATAGTTTTTAGAAAAGTTAAGTGGGAATAATTTGTGGTTGGGGAAATGAAACTTTCCAAAACACCACCAGCGCACCGCAGCATCAGGCCTAAATCAATAGTTTCTCTATAAACCACTGGCACACAGTCACACCAGCCAACATAAATCTGATCCATTAGATTATTAACCTTGAGCGACATTGGCTGTCGTGACTGACTGGTCCTTCCCTGAAACGCAGACGACTCCGATTGGTCACGTGCCACCAGCGACCTCTGATGTGACCTTGGAGGTGATGAGATCTCGTCAAAAGGCTGCTCGTCTGGGATCGAATCTCCCAGGATGCATTTCAAAGAAGTCAGGAAAAATATAAATCCGATACTGACAAATTCTTGTACAATTACTTCCTCACATTGCAAAAGCAAAAGCGACCGTTTTAAATATCTAAATGTTCCCTTTGCATTGTTGTCCCTTTTTCTAATTTCATAAATCAGAAGCAGGATTCAGACATGGAGGAATATTTTCAGTCAGCTGGTGTCTCTGGCTTTTCTGTTTCTCCTTTTGCTCGCTTTCCGCAGATAGATTTTGCCGACTTAGCGTTTTCACCATGGAATGTTGTTGGAATTTGTGCGTCTCTGTGTGTGGTTGTTTGTGTGTGTGTGTGTTTGTTTGTGGCCAGGACAGTGTGTCGCATGCACACACACACACACACACAGCAGGACATGGGACATTTGGGCTTGTTCTCTACTGAGACAGATAGAGAGAGGTGAGGGGGTAGAGAGAGCATCATTAAAAAATGAAAAGGGAGAGAGCGATTTCATAACATGACAGACGGACGACCAGATGAAGCGAGAGGGAAAGAAAGAGAAGAGACGACCAGGGGAATGAAATGATTAAGATATTCGAGTTTAATCTAATTCGAACACATTTCCTGTAAGACGCCTGGAAAACCACATTTACTACCGTTCTTGCTTCTCCTGAACTGATGTAAAACAAATCACAAAGTTGTAAACTGATAACGATGACAACGTAAACTGTGTCGGAGTCAAAAGAACCAGACGAGTGTGTAAAAGCTGGATAGTGTGTGTGTGTGTGTGTGTGTGTGTTCTGTGTTACAGGAATGTTGATCTGATAATGGGATTAATGCTGAAAGCTCCACTGACTCACTGTTTCTCTGCAGGATCATTGAGGACTGAAGGCATCAGGGCGTCCGACGTCCTGCCTGTGTTAAAGGAGAAAGTTGCCTTCGTGTCAGGTGAGTCGGTTAAATCACTAAACCTTTGAATTGTGACGACACAGCGTCACGTCCGGGCGACGGCCTCAGTTCCACATGGGGGTCTGTGACTCGGAGCAGTCTCTCTTTAGATTTTTGATTCCACACCTGCTAATTTTGCGATTGTTTTGAAACAGTCTCTGCATGAAACCGCATTTAAATGTTTTTCATAAAGCTCCATGAATTATTCTCTGACAAATCAAGGACAATGTTTGAAAAAAATTCACAATTTAAAAGAAAATTACAAAATATGCCTGGATCCAGGTTTGTCCCTGGGTCCTGCCCCCGCCCCTCCACAAAACATCACGGCAATCGGAGGATTAGTTTTTCCTGCTAACGAACACATTCCCTCCTTGGCCGAGGTAACCACAAGCGTGGTAGAGCCATTACTATGTCTTTAGACGTAGATGGACGACAGCTTCCAAGGGTGACGCCATATGGGCTGAGACGCCCCGATTGAAAAACTAAGACTGACTCACGATTGACCAAGTCTGTTAATCGACGAGACCTTGAATCTTGGTTTATTCCACGATCGCGATGACTGCTACTCGTTCCTATCTGGGATATTTTTGTAGACTGCAAGGACACGTCATCCCCAACACATAAACCTCTAACTGTATTTTTTTGTCAGCTGTTATCGTAGAAAAACCCGTCTTTTCTCGTACAGTGACGTTCACCAGCTAGGGCTTATGGGAAACGGGATATCAAGCTGTTTGTCTTTATTGAAACGTACTCTATGATTGTGAAATGAAATGAAATCCAAATTCATTCATTAATAGAATGCATGAAAACTCTTTTTCATTTTCCTGGGAGCTCGGGAGTGGCTGAGCAAAAGCCTCATTTCTTCAACATTACACAACAGCGATGTATTCCATTACATTTTGGTTTGATTAATACATCCAACAGATGCCTGAGAATATACATATATATATATATATATATATATATATATATATATATTCATCAGTGCAGATTTTTCTCCAGAGTTGTGTAAACCATCATCTGCAGCGGTCTCAGATTGTTTTGGGCTGATTTATTCTCAACTCAGCGCCTTGAAAATATGCTTTTAAAAGTTATTTATCGTTTAATTATTCCACTAACATCGTCTCAACACGCCGCATTTGCCAACATCAGCTGACTGATTGTGACGAGGTCTCAGCTAAAATGATTCCTCAATTAATCAGAGAGACAAACGAAAACTTTTTAACCGCTTCATGTGTCTGTACCCTCGATGACCCCTTCAGGGACCACACCCGCCACATTCAACAGCACAGTGTCAGCGACGGGAGCTGCAGAAAAGATCATTGATGCGGGAGGAGTCGTTCACCTCAGTCAGGAAACAGGCAGGAAAATCATCACAGGCCCTTCACACCCTGAACATCACTTAGGTGACCTCCTCCCCCTCAGCGGAGGCCCCGTGTCGCCGTGGGCCAACACAAGCAGAGAAAGCAGACACATCACCGTTTTCAATCCAGAGGCCGTCGACACTCGCACACACTCAGACGTGTGATGGATTCTGAGTCTAAACAAACAAGATGAAGTGGCACATTAAGAGCTGAGTGTTATCTCCACAAGCTATTGGAAAACTGCATTTGCCATTTTAGAAGAATCAGCAGCGAAGCGAGAAGAAAATTAAACTTCAACACAGACCAGGATCATAAAGAATACATGTTCAAACAGGGGCACGTGTAAATATATCCACATGTTGGGCAGTACTCTGTATACTTTACGGCATACACAAGTACTCTGGTTAATTATCTCATCAGTGGAACCGTTTGAGTACAACAGTGAGCTCTGCATTTAAAAGAGAGAAAATGGGAGAGAGACCTGGAGGAACAAAGGGAGACACAGAGAGAGAGAGTGAGAGAGAGAGAGTACGTTAAAGGCCCAGTGCCAACAACAATCTGTCAGCAAGATTCCTCCTTAGATTACAGCAGCATACTTCCTCCCTAATCACACACACACACACACACACACACACACACACACACACACACACACACGGAGGCCGATTTTCCACGTCTGAGTAGCAGTTTCATAAACAGTGTGATTTGTGTTTCTTATATTAATCTAACCAAAACATCTCCGCACACATAATTCATCAGTGTGTGTGTGTGTGTGTGTGTGTGTGTGTGTGTGTGTGTGTGTGATGGGTTTCAGAGGCTTTGGAAAAGTCTCTTCACTCTCAGATGTAGCTGTGGTGTCACAGAGATGTTAGAACAGAATAATGTGCAGATTAACCGTGGGAGTGGATGTGATAAAAAAAATCTAATTTGCAACAGTAGTTTTTTTAATTAAATTAATTTTTTTCTCCTTTATTTCATTTTCTGTTTCACAAATTTTATTTAACGTCACGCTGCCGTCACCACTGCGACTTTAAACAAAAGAAATACTAACCACTAACGGCTGTTATACCATGTTACTACTGCTGCTTGTACTTTATAACTTTCATAACTACTGCAACTACTGCTGCTGTCACGATTCAAGTCGATGCAGCATTAGACAGTAGAAGAAGAAACCACCAGGACGTTCATTTGGTGCATTTGAACTCGTGTGGTGTAGGTAGACACAGCCCACGTATGTGTTGATGACAGAACGCACGTATGTCAACTCGTCTGTTTGCATGTGAACGTGCAGGTGGGCGAGATAAGAGAGGAGGACCAATTTTGACGTTTCCTGCCCGAAGTAACCACGACCGAATAAAACAAGAAGACCTGAGGCGGCTGGTCACGTACCTGTCCACTGTTCCCAGGTACAGTCCCATCACACACACACACACACACACACACACACACACACACACACACACACACACAGCAGATGTAATTAGTATGTTTTTATCAAAGCTCTGAATCTAAGTTGTGTCTCTGGTCAGTGACTCTTTGTGAGAGGTTGAGGATGAAGTGCATGTGGAGTGCCTCAGTGCTGCCAACGCTGTGGAATCAAACGCTCCTTTCTCCTCCGTCGCAGCAGCAGACGGGGAGCAGCGTTTGATTTGCATCAGCATGAAAGCTGCTGTGTGTTTTGTAGCCGGCAGCGGCGAGCGCGTCGCTCTGAACTTCACGTCCAGTCAGTGCTGTGGCCGCTCATCACAGTCTGAGGATGCGACCGGTCGTGAGCTGGCGGAGAGAAGAGTCCAGTCCTCGTCTCTCTGTAATCATGACTGAGATTTATGTTATCAACACAGATTCTCTTCTAATAATAATAATTCAATTCAGTTCAATCACCAAATCATGAAATATTAAGGTCGAGTTCTATAACGAAATAATAGAATAGAACCTAAATGCCACTTGCGACCTGGAACTATTTTTAAAATCTCCTCGGTGGTGCATTCAAGGACACTGTGACATCATGGGCTGATTTCCATCTACTAAAAAGCATTGATGTTCTCTGTCATAACGAAATGAAAAAAAAAAAGGAGGCCTTTCAGTGCACGACGAAATTGCGAGTGTCCTTGAACGAGCACCGGGGACAGTTTTCCATCCAGCAGCCGCACCGAGCGACTGACGTGCATGTTAACACGCTTACCTGGGCGATGAGAACACGGCGTTATTGAACCAAACTTCTGAATTATCATTCGATCCCCATCAGCCCCGCTCGGCTTCACCCAGCTAATCGAGCTGCTGTTTCCATGGTGACGGGGAGAGTTTGTGCCACCCTGAGGCAGATTACAATGGATGTGCCGCTGTTGAATTTACATTAATACAGACCGAGTGTGTGTGAATGTGTGTGTGTGTGAGTGTGTTTGTGGTGGTGAGGTCATTTCAGTATATTTTTACTCCCCAATCAGCAGCGGCTGAATTTACTGGAGTTCGGGGGAGACTGTTTACGAGCTGTTCAGTGATGGAGGATGGCACCGTCAGTGGCACTGCAGCGTACTTCAGCTCTGATGGTTAAAAGGTTTTGCTTATAAATGCCAAAGTGGTTTTATTTTAAGGCAGCGTGGTGATTGGTACGTTCCGCCGCTCATAAAGGGTTCTGGAATCTCCCTGGAGAAACACTGGACATGAACTCCTGCAGTCAGAAAGGGAAACAAACACCACATTTTCATTCGAGTGCTGAGTTAATCTTCTTGATCTTTTGATTAGACACTAAACTGCCGCCTTTGCTTTGGCGCCAGAAGATTTTATCTCGTTCAGGCTGTTGTTTTGAAGTGTGCAGTTGTTTTTTAATCTCGTTATCTGTGTCTCATTAGCTCGCAGCTCTGCGTTCACCTTTGTCTCTGACTGACACTTCACTGACAAGCCTCCAGAGCTCGAGGGGAAACCGAGATAAACTAATGGAAAACATTCACTGCTAAATACCTGCTGCTACTTTCAAGCCTCCGCAACGGCAGGAGGAAACTCCAGTCAAGGGTCAAGGCCACTGTGACCTCACAGAACACATGTTTTGGTCTTACAAGAAAACCTTGATGGAGTTTCTTCAAGATGATCCTGTTTGCCTTGTGAACACGTTATCTTGAGAAGCTCTTGAGAAAATCGTTTCAACTTTGACTCAAATTGTTCACGTAGACTCGCTGATTAACTTATTAGATTTGGGTGGACCAAAGGTCAAAGGTCACGGTGATATTAAAGAACATGTCCGCCTTCAGGTAATTAAAAAAGTGAAGTGGTTGGATTTCAGTGGTCAGAGGTCAAATGTTTTGGTGACTTCATGTGTATCTAGGTGATAAGTACTGTAGACTGAAGCTGTACTGGTTGATGGAGACGTATAACTGCAGGAAAGTAATTCTAGTTTACGCATCAACAAGTAAATTTTAAAGGAAATGAATGCAAACTCACCACACTGCTCCCTTATCTAAGACTGTTTCACTTCCAGTTTCCTTCGGTAAATAGTCCGATGAGTTTTGGATTTTGAAGCTATTTTACCGTTTCGTCTAACCTTCTGCATGATCCTTCTCCTCGTTCCTTTTCCTTACCTCCTATCGCCCTTCCTCTCTTTTCTCAGTGAGGACGTATGTAAACGTGGTTTCACGGTGATCATCGACATGCGCGGGTCGAAGTGGGAGCTGATCAAACCCCTGCTGAAGACGCTGCAGGAGTTCTTCCCGGCCGAGATCTGCGTGGCGCTCATCATCAAACCGGACAACTTCTGGCAGAAGCAGAAAACAAACTTTGGCAGCGCGAAGTTCTCCTTCGAGGTCAGTCGGCTTTGTTTCGAACCCAAGATTGCAAAGTTCTTGGACAAAAGATTGATTTCACTGTGAACGGATTGTTCGCTGAAGCTGAAACAGGAACGTCAACATAATGATTTCACATCTGAGTCCCAACAATGATTTATTATGATATTTTGCAGGTAAAAATACATGGTTAGATAATTGTTGAATCATGTTTGAATCAGGTTTGCTGACGGCTAAATTTTGCAAAAATGAAATTGTACTGGTGGTTAATGGTGGAGTTGAGGATTTAGGTTAGCTAATGGCTAATAGCTAATGGCTAATAGCTAGCTGGTGATATTTGTTCGTTTTGGCAAGTGAAACCGTTTGTCTCAGTTAGCTAGCACTTCACTGAACCTAGCTAAAAGTGGTCTTGTGTTAGCTAAGGTTTTGGTTTAGCTATCAAATAATATGTTTTTTAGATTAGCTCACAGTTTAGTTTAGCAGCTGAAACCCATTTTTTTTATTTATCACAATGCATCGGTCGACTGTCTTAAGATATTTAAGATATATATATTCTTACTGTGTGAATTAAATCTGCTCTATGATGATGTGTTGTAAACCTGGATCATCTGTCACATGTATTTCGGACATTTCTCCTGTTTGTGTTTTATCAGACCAGCATGGTGTCCGTCGAAGGTCTGGCCAAACTGGTGGATCCCTCCCAGCTGACGGACGACTTCGAGGGGTCCTTGGACTACAACCACGACGAGTGGATGGAGCTGAGGGTCTCTCTGGAGGAGTTCATGTCCAGTGCTGTTCACCTGCTGTCTCGACTGGAGGACCTGCAGGTGGGGGGGTGGACACGTGAATGAATCAGGGAAAGATGGAGGGATGGTTTTAAAGGATCGCAGGAGCCGTCCGTCCCGATATGACAAAGGTGTGCTGTGTGTTGCAGGAGCTTCTGTCCAAGAAGGAGTTTCCTGCAGATGTGGAGGGATCCCGTCGGATGATAGACGAACACACGCAACTGAAGAAAAAGGTGAGAGAGCTACTCTCAGGAACAGAAACATCTAAAGACGATAAATGTTGAAGACTCTCTCTGTTAAACATCAGCCAAGTTTCGACTGAAAGTACAATTAGTACTATTAATCCCAGGAATTTATTTCGTAGCGTAGCGAAGCGTAGAGACGAGCACTACTGACATTCAGCCACAGGTTTTTAAAATGGTGGCTGAAATAAAATGTAGTAATCAACCAATCAGGTATGTTTCATGGTGCAAGCTCCACCCCAAAGTTACGGTACTTACTCTGGTACTCGCCCTAGACTTAATACAGACCATCGGTCCTTTGGTAGAAACATGAGGGGTTCCTGCAAATGTTGCTAATTCCGGCGGAAAGTCCCTACGGTCTAAATTTAGCTATGGTCTAAACGTGGCTATAGTTTTATAATCAATTAAAAACATTATCCTCCTCTCCTGTAGGTGCTGAAGGCTCCAGTTGAGGAGTTGGACCGGGAAGGCCAGAGGTTGCTGCAGTGTATCCGATCGAGTGATGGTTTTTCTGGGAGGAACTGCATATCTGGCTCTGCTGACTTCCAGAGCCTGGTGCCCAAGGTAATTCCCCAGGGATGTTCACCCCAGCTGGAAATATAACAGGCTGATTACAGAACACATCAAAATGCAAATGGTAAAAAAAAAAAAAAACTCAAAATAATTAAATGGTTAAAATCTTCTTCATTGTAAAATAACATTTATTTCTTAAGCACATACACCACAACAACATAGGTAGGTTATAGTGTAATAACTGATTAAGTGCATAGTCTCATTTATTTCCTCAGGCCCTCAGCTCTCAGTGCAGCTAATGAGATATACTCGCCGCATGTTAGCTCGTTAGCTCTTTAGCTTGTTAGCTCGTTAAGTGAAGGGCTCTGCAGGGGTTGTGTAAGAGCTCATTGAGTTTCAATTCTCTTGTTGTTTGCATGATGCAGATTCACTGTACAAACAGAGGAACGCATTCATATGAATATTTAATACAAGGATACAGGACTTCTAATGTCTTACGTACTTTACTTAGATTCTAAAGGGTAGAACCGATTTAAATTATCAGTCGATCAAGGACACAAGTGTGTTTTGAATAAATGATCAGCGGACAAATTAATAAAAATACTCACAGGTGCCGATGGTTCAGATTGATGTCAGGAGACACTGGGGCCTGTTTAATTTACCTCTTTAACTCATGTTAAATGTTCATTTTATAAAATTAAGAGCTGCGTTTGAATAAGCGGCAAAGCAATAAAACATTTAAATGTCTTCCTACTGCGCCCATCAAATCAAAAGTTAAAAAGTGTTTTATTTAAACAATGGATTTTTTACATAAATATTAAAGTGGAGGATAAAAAAAACACTAGATGTTTTATTTATTCAGACAAACCGATTATGAACTGTGATCTATCTATCTATATGTATGATCTATCGCGTCTCACCAGGTGGCCAGTCTGCTGGATAAGCTGCACTCAACGCGGCAGCACCTCCATCAAATGTGGCACGTCAGGAAGCTGAAGCTGGACCAGTGCTTCCAGCTCCGCCTCTTCGAACAGGACGCAGAGAAGGTGAGTCTCACCTGAGCCGCGGCACAAATCATCGCTGGGGATGTGATAAAATCAAGAGCGTGATTTATTTCACTCTTGAAACTGCTTCACAGTAAAAGTTCTTTTTTGTACTTTACGTCTTCACCTATAAATCTGATTTCCTGCAAGCGTTGCTGTGAAACCGCCTCAGAGATTTGCTGCACAGGGAAAGTGTTGAATTATTAATCACAGCAAACGTGCTGATCATTAAAAGCTGTGCTAAATATTTTGCTATTGTGGAATCTATTAAAATGGTCAGAGGCTACAGAGGTTAACAACAAAATATAAACAGGAAACAATCAGTGCAAATCATTGTGATCTATATTTTACAAAGCACAGGTTACATTCACTTTCTGAATTTTAACTTTTGTATATTTTCCTTCCTCCGGGACAGTTTGTATAATGTATATTTAATTCTCTCCTCTTTTCATCTTATCTGTGTCACTGTTCGTGCCTCCAAAAAAAACTTCAAGGCCCCCGAGAAGAAATATCCTTCAGCATTTGTCTAAACACAGGAACAGTCAGCAGTTAATCCGGTGGAAAATCAGCCAGCGCTGCTTCGCTTACATCAGTGCAGTGATTAGCTGCAGTTGTGGGTGAATGTTTGGATTCCGTTCGTCATTAACATACCAGCCTGTTTACGACAACACGCAACTATTTCGGTTTTTGTCCAAAATACTATATATGGAAACATCACAGTCTCTCAATTGTTTTTTAAAACATTATCAGACAAGTAAAAAGTAAAAAATTCAGCATTCGAACACAAAACTGAATACCTACATAGATGATGACTGTGATTACTATATACTGACATCTACACACCAACATGCAATATAACAACCATCATGCAAACAATGACACTAGACACATCACATTATAAATCACCAGATAAACAAAGGTTCAGGAAAAACCTTCCTGCCCCCAAATAATTCTCTCTCGTTCAAACCTTCCCTCAGCATTTTCAGTTAAGTCTGAAAGGTTCAGAGGTCATCTGGGTCTGGATCAAACTGAACCATTGTTCGTTTGCAGAGTGAAAACACAGCTGCAGTCTTCACCTCCGACGATACAACGTCTGAACGGTGAGGACGTTCGTTTGAACTACTGCAGAGTACTGTAGTACTTTGGTGCTGTGGAGTACTGCGACGTGAAGGTGCTGATGCTGCTAGTAATACCATCATGATGTCACCATGGCAACCAAATGGACCGAATGAACTGGTTCATTAATTTTCTCCAGATGCACGCCCGTCTACAAACCAATCAATGTCAAGTGTAGGTCGACGACGACAAGAAGCACATATGTTATATATCTTTTAATGCGCTTTCTAAATTACGATGTAAAATCAAAACTGAACAAATCAAACTGAAACAATGGAACAAAGACGTGAAGCTTGATTCAGACTTGGAAGTTCTCTCAGTTTGAAAGATGAGTGGATGCAGATATCATGGCAAAGGTTCTGAATGACGAGGAAGGTTATTTACATGGATTCAGGATGTTTCACCATGTTGACCTTCAGTCCCGTCTAACAGAGCTTCAAGTGTTGTAGTGGCCTCGGTGTTGTTGATGGAAGTACAGAATGTAAACACACTTGTGTTGTTCTTCACAGAAATCCACATGCAGGAGCGGTAAATATTTACAGTCGTGCAAACAGAGAGGAACAGGGAAACAGTTCAGTCCACATCAGTAAGGAGTAGCTGCGGGGGTGTGTGGATGAGTTTACACTGTGGGAAAACACTTGGCTCTTTCATTTGAAACAGTCAGACCTGACGACAAGGTCTTAGCTACCCCCCCCCCCCCCCCCCCCCCCCCCCTCCCTCCCCAGCCTCCGTCTGTCTGGAAAGATTGATTCACGCGGAGGAGCGAGCGTGAAGGTTGTTCTGGCCTCTCAGGCTTTACGCTGATCAGCTGCTGAAGACGGAGTCAACAACTGGAGAAAATAACATTTGTGTTTTTAAAGGACTGTTCTCGAGTTTATTCCTGATGTGACTCTCTGTGTTTGCAGTGGTAGTGTACATGTTAATACTGTTGTCGTGTGTGTGTGTGTGTGTTTGTGTGCAGATGTTTGACTGGATCAGCCACAACAAGGAATTGTTCCTGCAGAGCCACACAGAGATCGGCCGCACTTACCAACACGCCGTGGAGCTGCAGACTCAACACAACCACTTTGCCATGAACTCGATGGTAGACAAAGTCTTTAAATTCATTATATCACTGCATGGCTGCGGCGTGAAATGAAAATATACTCAAATTAAAATCTAAATACATTTGAAAATTGTCAGGTCCAGTTTAATATGACAAATATGTGCAATGTACAATATGTATATCATTCATAACGACTCCAGTCTCTCAACTCATTATATTTTATTCAATGTAAGAACAATAATTAAATAATGAATGCATTTTATCTGTTTCCATCCCAGAATGCTTACGTAAACATCAACAGAATCATGTCAGTGGCGAGCCGCCTGGCTGAGGCCGGTCACTACGCCTCCACCCAGATAAATCAGATCTCATGTCAGCTGGATCAGGACTGGAAAAGTTTTGCTGCTGCGCTGGACGAGCGCTCCACCATCCTCGCCATGTCGTCTGTCTTTCACCAGAAGGCTGAACAGGTGAGGCAAAACATTTAATTGACCCAGTCGTCTTTGAGCCGAGGTAAGAGCGGGGATGATGGCCCTAATCCTCTCTTGTAGAAACTCACTGGTCGTCTTTGTGAAAAGAGAATCATCCCACCCTGATGTAAGAACTCCCCTTTCAATTCCCCGTCATTAGAGGAAAAGCTGTTCCACTTACTGTGAGACGGCTGCTGCTGCTGCGGCTCCGCTGCTGATCTGCTAACTATCTTATCTCGGGGTCTCTCTGCAGCAGACGCTTGTCCAGAATGTAAAATGTAAACGGCACTTTTTTCTATTTATTTGTACGTCTGATTATATTTAATAAATCAAAACTGCTCCGCTGCTGATTCCTGGAAGGTTGACATGGCAACAGATGGGACTTGTTTGATTCCTGCTGGGCCCTTGACATCAGCTACAAGTGCACATTTGAGGGAGAGCGGCACATGAAAGAGGAACAGAGAGAGGATGGGGGCAGAGAGAGGTCTGGCTCAGACTGAGGAAGAGAGAAACAGAAAAAAAAAAATAAAAAACTGTGTCAGCATCAGAGATGAAACACACGAGGAGCTACAGAGAGAAGATGGAAGAGAAGAGTGAAATCTGAACCCTGTGTAATATTTCTCAGTAGATTTTCAGGGAAGCAAATCAACACAGACGGAAATGTCACAGTAGCACACTGTTACCAACTCAGATTACAATAATTACACTTCTTTCAACAGGGATGATGAGTACCTGCAGCAAATGTCATGGCAACCGCACCGCGCCATGCTTTGGACCCAAAATCAGAAAAACAAGGTCCAGGACAGAAATTATATTGTGACAGAGTGACGGCATTAAAATGAAAGAACTCTTTGCATTAAAGCGTTCAGTCATTTTTATTAATTTATGTTTTTAGGTTGTCCATCCGTCCGTCCCATTCTTGTGTACACGATATCTCAAGAACTCCGTCAGGGAATTTCTTCAAACAGTCTTTTGAATGATTTCTAACGTGTTCTTATTTGCGTCCTCAGTTCCTGTCGGAGGTGGACGCCTGGTGTAAAGTCTGCAGCGAGGGAGGGTTACCTTCTGAGATGCAGGAGCTGGAGCTCGCCATCCACCGCCACCAGAGCCTGTACGAGCAGGTCACCCAGGCTTACACCGAGGTAAACCCACAGTACCAGATAACCCATGAACTGGGATCTGCTGGTCATCAGCTGTAACTGCAGGTTGTATACGAGCAGCTCACGAAGGCTTTGGCCAGAAATACACTCGAATCAAAATGACCAAGTCTCAGCTCACTGGTCACAGCCGGCTCTTTTAGTTACTGGCACCAGTTTCTTCAATCTCTTTTTCTTGTATTTTCTAACAAAACACATAAAATGAGTATTTCAGATCATTCTTTGGTTTTCGCTTGGCTTGTTTCTCTAGTTTGTTCATGCTCTGGAATAATCGGAGCTTTAACTGCCCCGTAAACTGCAGAATAAACAATTACAGCTTTCAAGTCATCAGAAATGCTTTGAAAATATCCCCCGCAAATAAAAACCGAGCCCTTGAAAAGACCATGAAACCGTTTTAGTTTGTCAGCTGGTGATATAGAACAATCATTTTGTGTAGAGAAGGGTTCAGATAAAGTGTGAGGAGGGTGAAGTGGACTCCAGAGTAAGTGTTGCTGTGTGGCAGCAGAGTGTTGGGCTGTGATTGGCTGTGACGACAGGGTGGCGTTGATCAGCTGCTGCATCGCCACCGCAAATGTAGTCATGAAAGTCTCCGGCTCTTCTCCGCTCTTTGCTTCAGACGACAGACACACACACAGACACACACACAGACACACACACAGACACACACACAGACACACACACAGACACACACACAGCTTGGTTCAGAGCTTGCTGCTAAAAGTGAAATTATTCCTGAAATTATCTGGAGAGGGTGTATGTGAGAATGCAAATGTCTTTCTTTATCTTTATGTTTGTGCGTAGACGTTTCTAATCTCTTTGTGACCGACCTGTGTGTGTGTGTGTGTGTGTGTGTGTTTCCAGGTGAGTCAGGATGGCAAAGCTCTATTGGACGTCCTCCAGAGGCCTCTGAGTCCCGGAAACTCTGATTCGCTGACAGCCACTGCCAATTACTCCAAAGCGGTCAGTGCCATTGATTTCACTCCTGCTGTCCAATTACCAAAGAGAAGCAGCTTTAAGTTTCGTAAATTAAATCAAAAATCTAATAACCCTAAATACAAAATGTCACCACGTAGTTTTTAACCTTTGTGTTACTCTGCAGGTTCACTGCATCCTGGACGTGGTTCACGAGGTTCTCCATCATCAGCGGCGTCTGGAAAACATTTGGCAGCACCGAAAGGTCCGACTGCACCAGAGACTGCAGCTGTGTGTGTTCCAGCAGGACGTCCAGCAGGTGCGCATACACACACACGCACACACACACACACACACAAACACACACACACACACACAAACGAACACACACATTTTATTGCCGTTTAGAGTTTATTGAAGGACGTTTGTAAAAGTTTTATTCAATGAGGTCGAAGAATTCTCTCAAACCACAGTAGAGTGTGTAATCTTCTACGTAAGCATGTAATCAAGTGAGCAGACCATAGTAGTGTGTGTGTGTGTGTGTTCCTCCGCAGTGCAGACTAGAATCACCACAGCTCGGTTATCCCTTGTCGTCCCAGCTGAAGAGTGAAAATCCCTCCGATAGAATTCTCTGCTCTTCTTCTGCAGACGGCGTGGGTTTGGAAAGGTGTCGTCCCAGATTACTGGACGTTTGAGAGATATTCAGGAGCTCGGGATTTGAATGCGTGAAGGATATTAATAACCAGACACAGTGAATGTCATCATTGCGGCAGGGAGAGGTTGCGAGTATTGTTTTGTTTTCTTCAGTATGATTTATTGTGGCTTTAACAGTCATGTAGTAGGAACGATGCACAACCAAATTCCACTGGCATGAGTGAAAACCCTGAGATCTTTTTTTAGTACAGTAACAAGTAAAAACACAGTGATGCAAAGCAGCTGAAATCAGCCCCTGACTGTGTCGGTTTTTTCCACCAACAGGCTGAAACAGGAACAGCAGAGACAGATTTACAGATGTTGATGTGTAACATCTGCGAGCGAGGACGGAATAACGGATAAATGATGCAGCTTGTTCAACGGCAAAATGTCAGGAAATGAGATGTCAGTGTAATCTGCTGGTGAAACGATAGAAATGAAAATAGCTGGAGCCAATTTCACTCTGCTGTTCTGTCTTTTCTCTGTTTGATTAGTTGAGATGAGATTAAAGTTTAATAATATATAGATTGTATATTGTATATCTGGTAGAAAATAGACTCGTCCTTTCAGTGTATTTGTTCCATTGTTTTCTTAAGAATGCCTCGAGACAATCATTTCAAATTTGGCACGAAACTTTCGCTGAGACTCACGGATCATCTGATTAGATTCAGGCGGTCTAAGGTTCAAAGTCAGGGTCACATGACCTTAAAAAAACTAATTTGCTGCCTCTTGAACATGATATCTGAAGTCTGCCTGGAGGGAATTTCTTCAGATTTCGATCAGCTGTCTTTTGGACTCAAACATAATTTCTAGAGGGTTTTTTTTCTAATTGTTTTTATTATTTATTTATATATCACCACTAAAATAAAGTGTCGGTTCCAGTCATTCAAATATAAGCAGCAGAATAAAACCACTGTTCACACTCACACTGCTGCTGTTTCCATTTAAACCTTAATATTAGTTCTTTTTCTAGGTCACGTTCAGTAGTTTGGGAATTCACACACACACACACACTATTGTAACTGTCAGACTCAGTAGAGAGAATCAGGGCATTGGGCGTGAGCCATACAAACATTTGCATGTGACCCGAGAGAGAGAGAGAGAGAGAGAGAGAGAGAGTGAGCGAGTTTTGAAGAGAAGTAAAAAGAAAAACAAAAGATTTAAAAAAAAAAAAAAACACGAGTGAAGAAGAGTTCATATCTTTAGATTATAAATTCATTGAACACAGAGCGTTGCCAGCAGAACTCGTCGTGCATCACTTTCTACGAGACCCAGGAGAGAGAGAGAGAGAAATAGAGAGAGAGAGACACTTAGTGGGTGAGACAGAGAAACTTAGACAAAGAGCGAGTGAGAGAGTGCGCTCATACCGATAGTCTATAAATCAGTGGAAACAGGCCGATTCCAAGCAGAGTTGTAATGCTACAGAATATATGTGACCCCAGAGAGGGAGAGAGAGGGAGAGAGATGCTGAGGAGAACATATTGGGTGTGTAGTTTCATTTGGCAGCTTCAGTTGCACATTCAAACAAAGATAGTCCAGCTGCAGTCGGCACGTTTCGGTTTGTATGTTGCGACCTCGCCGCGACCCCTCCGTGGCTCCAGCTGGACCGGCTGCACGACGCTTACGTCATGTGAGTTACAACACGGTTCATCCGTAACACGCTGCGCCTTCAAGGCCCAGATGTAGTGATGTGTTAATGGGCTGTGCTGAAGGGGGATGTCGGTGCAGAGGAGGAGTCCGTTTTTTTTTTTTTTTTTTTTTTAATTTGAAGCTTGATCTGCTGTTTTTAGATGCGGTCCGGGACGGAGGGTTGTGTAGGTCAAACCAAAGAAGTATATGTGCTCACGACTCAAATGTCAAGCTGTGTCAGCAGATAGATATGTGTACACGAACGCTGCTTCCAGACAACTCATTTCTATTTCGCTGGATATCTTCTGCATTGATTTAACAATTCTAATCATCACTTCTAACCGTGCGTTCACCGACGGCCGGTGAACGAAAAAGGTTCCAACGTTGTATAAAACAAAGCAAAGGACGGCACCTGCTCAAGTTCGGCCCGCAGTCGTCTAATGACGCAGAATATTCAACATCCTGTGACCTACATTTCCCTGCTCAGATCATGAGGGCTTCATCTGATCCATTTCTAATTCATTAGGCCTGGGACCGTTTTGTGCCGCCGATCGGTACGAACTCTGGTGCAGTGCCAGGAATGCAACACGGAGCAGGTGACCTGTGATCCTGAGTGTGTGTTGGAAGATCTGAAGACGATCGCTGTCTCCTCTCTCTCTCTCTCTCCTGCAGGTGATGGACTGGATAGAAAACCACGGCGAGGCTTTCCTCAGCAAACACACCGGCGTCGGGAAATCCCTTCACCGAGCCCGAGCGCTGCAGAAAAGACACGACGACTTTGAAGACGTAGCTCAGGTGAGCGCAAGAAACGTGGTTGCCGTGTTTTCACGAATGCAACATTTCACCCTTCAAGAGCAGCAAACTCGTGTCAGAGAGAAAAGAACGACATCTACCACGGAAATCTTGGAGTATTTAGTTTTTTTATGAAATGTTTATTCGCCTGTCCTGCAAACATCTGTAAGTAATCTGCCTTGATTAATCCCAAATTTTCAAAACCACCATGGCTGCTGATGGCAGAAGGCATGAAGATATGCCTCCACATAACCATTTATGGTTACAAGACTTTTCTAAAAAAAAAAAAAAAAATCAGCAGAAGATGTTATCCATTCCTGAATTTCAGTGCTACGGCCGCGTAGGAAACACTGGCACTGAGATTTTGGACACAAAGACGAAAACAAAACAAAGAAACACGTTGAACATGAGCAGAAATGTGGCAAAGACACGGCTGCAGAAAAAAACAAGAGTCGGCAATTTAGTAGGAATTTAAAAAACGATAATCGAGGCTTTAAATTGCAAGATTAGTCATTATAACTTCAAATCCAAAACCTTAAAGGGCTTTGAAACCAAAAGTGATGTGACTGAAGTTGTTGATTTGAAGTTCTAAGACATTGACACACACACAGACACACACATATCGGTAACACCATTGATGGGATGGATTAAACCAAGGTCTTGTGCTTGTGTGGAGTTGATTTTTGTCTCCTCTCTTTTATTCCTTGCTCGTCTCATCAATCTCCTTGTCTTTCTTTTCCTCTCTTGTTGTGTGAAACTTTAGTGAGTCCACGTCACCGAGCTCATCTCAGTCATTTGCTTTATTTCAGTGTTTTTTAGTTCCTGAATAAAAGAACACTGGTGTCACGACGTCCATCCGAGTCTTAAGTAAATTAACCATGAATTTATTCAGAATCCGTGGTAATTAATAAATAATTTTCCCACTTTGGTCAGTGGAGTTTCAGTAAAGTGATAATCCTATAAAAGAGTGAATGTTAATCCCCGTGTAGGAGCGTGTAGTTGTGTAATGTGATGTTTACACTGGATTAGGATTAACCTTCATAACCTGCCGTGGATCAGCTTTATTTGGGTCGGATGTTTCCTTCTGTTGCCCCCCCCCCTCCCGTTAGCGTTTCTCTACAGTTTGCGATGTTTTGCTGGGAAAGCTTTCCTCTTAGCAATATACATAACATTAATTAATTCAGCGGTCGTTTAAGATACAAGCCGAGACACGAATACATAAGTTTGTTTACTCACGGAGCCCTTGGATAGTTTCTCTCACACGTGAACACAAAGACACGAGGAAACACGTCTGATTATTGATAGTTTCAAGTCTCAAGTTTCTCCTTTAGCGTTTTTCTATGTACTTGTTATGTTTGTGTTTAACTGGCAGAGCTTTAATGAGCTTTTACCCTCAGCGCTGCTATTTTGATGTCAGCTCTGCTCATCTACATCTGATTAAGTGCTTCACCAGTAGAAACAACTCGTCATGAAATAATTTAGAAGATCACAGATCTTATTCACCAGCTTCTTCTGAGATTTTCATTTCCCCAGAGGAATGGCAACGGGTTGACAGCGAGGTCAGATCTGAAACCGTTATTCTGGTTATTTTAGAATGATAACATCGGAGAATAAACTCCAAAGAAAACTGGGTTGTTTGTAGCTGATGCTTCTCAGGCGGCTCTCGTGTTTCTGGACGGTTGCTAGGATGTTGATTGGCGGTTTCTGGGTTCATCGGGGTGGTTGCTATTATTGATGCCGAGATAATTACAACGTGTGGTCACTAGGGTATCAGCGGGTGGTAGCTGGAGCCTGATCCAAATTGATTTTTCCTCACGTCAGTTCAGGCGTCTGTGTTCAGGTGACGAGGATGAATCTGCTTTTCTGTCATCTCCCTTTTTTAAAAATCCTCACCCTGCAACAAAACCAGTCACGCAACAGAGCCTAATAATCTCCTGTAAATTATAATCTCTATCTACTAACTAATCCTGCCGACATATCATGTGAGATACCCACTCTGTAATAATAATCATCGGGATCATAACAACACGTATTTCTCTCTCTGCTGTAACGTCACAAAAGTGATGAATGCCAGGAGAGAAGAGAATTGAACGTAGACACAGGAAGCATTCGATTTACAGTAACTGGAATTAACATTTTAATACAACATGATCCAAATGTGATGGTAGTGATGAAAACTGTGCCCGGGACCTCAGACGTTAAGTTTTGCCTCATTAGGACCAGAGTTTGGTCCCATGAGGTCGAGCGGTCCTGACAAGGCCTGTGTTAAAGTGTTAAAGTGTTAAAAGCTTTAGAGATGATCGGTAGTGTGGTCGTAGTAGAGGAGCTTTAATATATGTGGCACATTAAAGGGTTTGTTTTTCTTCCATGGTATAAGAATTAATTTAATGCGGATATGAGAAATGTTGAAGCTGCAGTTGATGATGATGATGATGGTGATGAAGGTCCCCTCTTCTCCTCTCAGAACACGTACACTAATGCAGACAAGCTGCTGGAGGCGGCTGAGCAGTTGGCTCAGACTGGAGAGTGCGACCCAGAGGAAATCTACAAGGCAGCCAGACACTTGGAGGTCCGGATCCAGGACTTCGTCCGACGAGTAGAACACAGGAAGCTGCTGCTCGACATGTCCGTCTCCTTCCACACACACACCAAGGAGGTGGGACAATCAAACGCAGACAGTCGCAAAGTAACACGTTCAAACACGCACGATGCCGCCGGCAGAGACGATTGAACGCACCTATACTAACTTCCTGTCTCTCCGTCCTTCTCGTCCAGCTGTGGTCATGGATGGAGGAGCTCCAGAAGCAGCTCTTGGACGAAGTGTGCTGCGACTCCGTGGACTCGGTTCAGACTCTGATCCAGCAGTTTCAGCAGCAGCAGACGGCCACGCTGGAGGCAACGCTCAACGTGATTAAAGAGGGAGAGGAATTAATACAGCAGCTCAGGTAAAACGAAATTTATATTATTATTCATGATGGTGTGAGAGAGGGAGAAAAATCAATTGTGAGGCTCAGGTAACGATATTAATATTTATAATGTTATTAAATCAAGAGAAGGATTTAGCTCAAGTGATAAATTTCACACTTAAAAACATCATTAAAAAGTCAAATCCTTTCAGCCACATGGGAAAGATTATGAATAATAATTAACATCTTGGCACATAAATATTTATACGTATTTTGGGGGAAGTTTCATCACTTGCTGTATTTCTCCTCTTACTTACAATAACATTAGTTACTGAGGGAAAGTCACTGGATGTAACTGTGTTAGATTATTTTTTTCTATTTCACAAACAACGTCAAATAAACAAATATGTAAATAATCTACATAAAATAAATGTCACTTGTGTCTCGTATGTTTGCGTTTATTCATTTGCATTCATTTGCACCGATTAGCTGCACTCTTCATTTTCTGTCTCTGTCTGCAGAGATGCCGCCATGTCGACCAACAAGACGCCGCACTGCAGTTCCATTGCACACATCCAGGGGGTGCTGCAGCAGCTGGACGAGGCCCAAGGCCAGATGGAGGAGCTGTTCCACGAACGCAAAATCAAACTTGACATCTTTCTCCAGCTACGCATCTTTGAGCAGTACACTATCGAGGTAAGAGAAGGACAGTGCGTCTTTGTTTTACAAAACACAGTCATGCAAGTTCATTTACGATTTGTTGAGTGTGTGTGTGTTTGATCGGTACCCTGCCTCCGACACGTTGTCAATTTTTATTTACACTCTATGATGTGGAAAAAGCCACAAGAAGATACACGACATGAAAAATGAAATGACGACAACTCAAATCACATCCTCATTCGTCTGTGTTCCCGCAGGTCACAGCAGAGCTGGACGCTTGGAACGAGGATCTATCTCGTCAGTTGAACGACGCCAGCCGCTCGGGCGGTGGCAGCAGCAGCGGCGGCAGCAGCGGCTCCTCCTCTGGCAGCGCGGAGGACATCGGCCTAGCGGAGCAGCGGCTGAAACGACACGCGGAGCGGAAGGCGGCCATGAACAACATGACCTATGAAGTGATGCAGCAGGGTCAAGACCTGCACCAGTACATCATGGAGGTTCAGGCCTCAGGTAACACACGGTTTTTTAGTTTCTCAAGAGATTGGTTCAAGATTTTGGATCCTGCTGCTTATTTCCTCATATAAATATATAAATATATATATATCTATATATATTTGTACATTTTATGAGTTCTTTCTCATTAAATTCCGACTTTTTTCTTGAAATTCTCCACAAATGATAAACGGTTGTACTCTGCTGTAGTTTCTGAATTTCGCTGCAGAGTCTCACATCTCGATTCACAGCTGCCCACTGTGCTACAAAGCAGAGAGGGAACCCTAATGCTGAGGCAGCACCATGAACTGGAAACGCTCGCTGTGTGGAACAGAGAAAGAATTAGGTTAAAAAAAATATGCACAGCTCAATCCTCTTACTGCGTGTGTTCGTATATGTGTACTCGGAGGTCAGTGGCTCAGTCGCTGGCTCAGTCGCTGCACCCCCTGCAGTGATAAATCTCTCGTCTACCACACACAAAACATGCACTCTCTCTCTTTAGCAGCGCCGGTTACTGGAGAGGTGAGGGATTCATAGTTTACTGATGCCACAGACTGAGAACAGATGCAAACCACCGATGATCATATTATATAATAAGATAAAGATGTATCATGTCTTGCTCAGCACCCAGGTGGACATATTCATGTTGAGAGTTGAGGAAACGACAGCAGCTGAGGGAAACAGCAGTGTAAAGGTGTTTGCTTCTTGTGTGTCAGGGATCGAACTGACGGGGGAGAAGGACATGGACTTGGCCTCTCAGGTTCAGGAGCTGCTGGAGTTCCTCCACGAGAAGCAGCAGGAGGTGGAGCTGAACGCGCAGCACACGCACACGCGGCTGGAGCAGATTCTGCAGCTGCGCCACCTACAGGCCGAGGTTAAGCAGGTAAACGCATTAAAACACCCGCATCAAGAAACGTCATCATTTAATTAAGTAACGCATTTTGTTTTTAGTTTTGCTTGAACTGAATTTCCACAGGATCAACTTGTTCACGCCTCCACTCAGCAGGTTTACTATGTTGCCGGCCAATCAGAGGCCTGTACTCTGACTACTACTACTACTACTACTAATAATACTTAAGTATATAAGAATAAGAGTTCTCCTGGTGTTATGAAAGGTTAGATTTTAAAAACCCGCTGTTCAGTCGACTGTAGAAATGATTGCATATTACTACTGCAGTAGATAAAGTACATCTACACTATAACATACTCAGAGTATTATTTTAATCCTGGGCTTCTGCTGCAGATGTGAATATGAACACGCTGCGTGCTGAGACAGGAAACACACTGCCGCCGCACATGGATGTGACTGAATAATTTATGAGGTGTATTGCAATGTGCTAATAACACACACACACGCACACACACACACACACACACACACACTCCTGGTGTCTGTCCTCCAGACTTCACCTGCAGCCACGACAGCTCAGTGAAGTGAACGACTTATCCACAGTAATTGTGGTCGTTGACATTTCTCACATGCACTGGAAGTTAACCAACCACAGCAGAGTTGGCCAGTCAGCCAATCAGAGCAGACTGGGCTTTAAAGAGACAGGAGATGAAACCAAGTGTTTGAGACAGAGGCTGAAAAGAGGAGCTGCAGCAATCGACAAGTTGAGGAAAGTGGTGTTTTCTGAATGTTAGAGCATCTAAACCCTTCAAGTGATGAAATGTTAAAGTGTTTTATTTCACGTCGCGTGGGAGAAAAACTATTTATTATGAAAATGAAGCAAACATGTGAAGGATCATGTGATCATGTGTCGTCTCTGTGTCGTCGTTCAGGTGTTGGGTTGGATTCGTAACGGTGAGTCCATGTTGAACGCCAGCATGGTGAATGCCAGCTCGCTGTCTGAGGCTGAGCAGCTGCAGAGGGAGCATGAACAGTTCCAGATGGCAATAGAGGTACACACACTCACTCTCCCTCTCTCTCTCTCACACACACACCCACACACACACACACACACACACACACTCACTCTCCCTCTCTCTCTCACACGCTCACTCTCCCTCTCTCTCTCTCACACACACACACACACACACACATCCTAATTACTGCTGCTAAAACCAGGCTTACTGTACTTCACTAATAATTATTTCACTATGCATTGGTTTGAATAGTAGCAGATGGGTGCATAAGCACACAAACACACACACACACACACATGCACACACACACACACACAGTTTCTTTGTCTTCTCCTTGTGAATCAGACTTACCTTAGTAATTATTTCATTGTGCTTTGACTTTGAAGAATAACAGATGCTAACACACACACACACACACACACACTCAAACACTCACACAATCACACATACACACATTCAAATACTATCTCTGTGTGTATTTGTGCATGTGTGTATGTTACTTCATGCAGTGCTTTAAATAGCTGACTCCAGAAATGTGTGAGCGCTAAAAGCGGTAAAAGACCCTTGGTCAGCATTGGACTACACACACACACACACACACACACACACACACACATATCGTTTTGGCCCCGGCCCAAAATGTTTTATGTTCATGCCTGGTTTCTGCTCCTGTGGAACCGTGGTCGGAGTGTGTGTGTGTGTGTGTGTGTGTGTCGGTGTGTGTGTGTGTGTGTGTGTGTGTGTCCTCAACATGATGTAAGTCATGCATCCTCCATCAGACTGATGTAAGTCTGCTTTGGCTAATAGCTTTAAATCAGACACACACACACACACATACACACAATGGAAGCATTGTCTGGTCCAATAGTAACATGATGACACATTGACAAAAGACAAACCTTCATAAAATCAAATTACAGTTTGTGACAGTTTCAGTCAGATCATTACAGATTAATCACATCGTCTGTTCTCTAGAATTAATCAAAGTGTGATAATATTCTTTATCTAATCCAGAAAATATTGAATATATCAGATAATAAATCAGAAGTTTAACATTCATGCAACTTCGCTTTACTTGCTTTTCTGGATTTTCTGGATTCTGGAGCATTGCTTGTATATGAATAATAATATAATAATCTCAATAATAGTATGATTATTTTTTTACTTATTCTTGAGTGTCTCTAACTTGCAACCAGTATTTACTTCCTTGTAAAATATTTGCAGAGCTGATTTCTCTGTAAACTTTTTAAATCCATGTTTACCAACCTGCAGACCGTTTTTAAGGAATTACTAATGGTTCAGTGAAACCTTTGGCTGAACTGTGGATGTAAGTCCCCTTGTGAGAGGAGCCACATGCTCCACTGGGAACTTTTTAAAGTTGAGTTCAACTCATGAGTGATTTTTAATTTAATGGTAACTACCTCTTCTTCTTCCTCCAGTCTCTGTTTCACGCTAACTCTCTTCAGAAGACTCATCAGAGCGCTCTGCAGGTCCAACAAAAAGCTGAGGTAAATCATCTGTTTCTTTATTATTTCCCGATGCACATTAGTCAGATTTAAAAAGAGTTAGAACACCTCCACGAGACATGTGTCCAGGAGATGTTGCAGAACATGTGCAGCAGAACCCTCCACCTGTTCCCTCTGTGTTCGTTCCAGATGATGCTCCAGGCGTGTCACTACGATCCAGAGGCGATTCGAAACTGTGCAGAGAAAGTGGCCGTTCACTGGCAGCAGCTGATGCTGAAGATGGAGGACCGCCTGAAGCTTGTGAACGCCTCAGTGGCCTTTTACAAGACGTCTGAGCAGGTAGCTTGTGTCCTCTCATTTCCCCTGGGTTGGTTGTTGTGGTGTCACTTGACTCTTCGTGTCGTTTGTCCAGGTGTGCAGTGTTTTAGAGAGCCTGGAGCAGGAGTACCGCCGCGACGAAGACTGGTGTGGCAGTCACGATAAACTGGGAACTTCAGCTGACACCGACCACCTTCTACCTCTGATCAGTAAACACCTGGAGCAGAAAGAAGCTTTTCTGAAGGTGAACTGTAACTACAATTCAATAAAGATTTGATTTAACATCACATAAAAGACAAATCTAGGACACGGCAGAGAAAAGAGGATCTCTCCAGCTCTTTGATCGCTTTAACTTTTGTAGTTTCCGTCTCTTGATCTGGATCCAAAGACAAATGAGAAGTTGTTGCCTTTAGATTTTAGTTTTTGGGTTGTTAATACAAATGTGGACCAGTGACTCACAGCAACTTATAATTAAGTTTTTGGAATATGACTCACACAAGCTTGTATTTGGTTCAGTTTGAATTCGCACCACCAATAAAAGTGATCTTGAAGTCGCCGGTTGTCCTCGGAGGAGCGCGTCAGTGTGTTAAACCACCATGTTCCTGTTTTTCAGGCGTGTACTCTGGCTCGTAGGAACGCTGAGGTGTTTCTGAAGTACATTCACAGGAACAATGTGAGCATGCCCGGGGCGGCCGGTCACACCAGAGGCCCTGAGCAGCAGGTCAAAGGTCAGTGCTACTGCTCCCGTTGAAATATTGAATCTCCATAGCAGGAAAACTGTCAAGTCAAAAAACATATCGATATAAATCAAACCGAGGAATCCAGAACATATTGCCACCGATGTGTGATGTTTGGTTTGACAACATTTATGATAACTGACAAACAGGGTTTTTATTTACAAAAGAATTGACCCTGGGTTTTGTTTTGTTTTTGTTTGCAGCGATTCTGAACGAGCTGCTGCAGCGAGAGAACAGAGTCCTTCACTTCTGGACGTTAAAGAAACGACGGCTGGACCAATGTCAGCAGTACCTGGTGTTTGAACGCAGCACCAAACAGGTCTGTGTGTGTGTGTGTGTGTGTTTGTGTGTCCATTAGTAAACCAAGCATGAAGAGTGCTGACTGGATTTTGACTTTAGAGACATATACAGTCAAGTAAACAAACGGGGCCTGAGGATAAACTTCATCTGTTGTGTTTGTCTGTTTGTGTGTATTTATGTTTGTGTATTTGTTTGTGCAGGCTCTTGACTGGATCCAGGAGACAGGGGATGTTTATCTGGCCACGCACACGTCACCCGGCGAAAGCAACGAGGAAACGCAGGAGCTCCTCAACGACTACCGTCATTTCAGACTCACTGCCAAGGTGCGACCAGTTTGTAATATTTAAAGAAAATAAATAAAAAATCAGCAAAGGCTCCAGGATTTAGTTTATTTTAGTGATACGGCTTTGGAGTTTAATAAGAGAATTAAAAATAAGAGAGGTTAAAAGATAGAGATTAAAAAAAACAAAAGTAAATAACCAGGATTATCATATACACATTATTAATTACAATAAAAGCTGTTTTGAATAAAATTAAAATACACAGAGAATGAATTGATAATACCGAGGTCCAGAAAATCAGTGAAGTTCCAATCAGCGTGCTTGTGTGATGATCCCACAGCAAACCAAGGAGAAGGTGAAGCTGCTGATCCAGTTGGCGGACAACCTGGTGGAGAAAGGCCACGCCCACGTTTCAGAGCTGAAGCGATGGGTGAGCACGGTGGACCGCAGGTACCGCGACTTCTCCGTCCGCATGGCCAAATACCAGGAGAGCCTCGAGAGGAGCCTGGGGGTCAGCTCTGAGGTGAGCACACACACACACACACACAGTCGATACTGACTGTCATGTATTCTGGTCGAGAACTCATGAACATGACTGCGGTAACAGACCCGGTGTCGAATATTGACAATCAATATTAGTTTCAAATTACCGACTCAAATCAATTAACGTTTCTCTGCGCAGGACAATAAAGACTTAGAGTTGGACATTATCCCCGCCAGCCTGACAGACGACCCCGAGGTCAAACTACGTGACCCCAACCACGAGGTCAACGAGGAGAAGAGGAAGTCTGCCAGGAAGAAAGAGTGAGTACAGACAGGAAGTCAAGGAGTCGGGTGATTTATAACCAACTTTAAACTTGAAATAAGAATGAGAATATAAATGCACATTTAGCTGTAAAATAAAAGCTGTGTAGGTGCACATCAGTATTATTGTGTTCTAGTCTAAAGTATTTTCCTCTGACAGGTTCATCATGGCCGAGCTGCTGCAGACAGAGAAGTCCTACGTCAAAGATCTCAACGAATGTCTCGAGGTAAAAAAAACAAAAAAAACCGCTTCCGCCTCTGTAACGTTGTTCGACACATGGACTGTTTTCCTGCCTGCTTTAATTTCCTGACTGTGTGTCAGACCTACCTGTGGGAGATGACCAGCGGTGTGGAGGAGATTCCTGCAGGCATCGCCAACAAGGAGCTCATCATCTTCGGCAACATGCAGGAGATCTACGACTTCCACAACAAGTGAGAGACACACAGACTGTGTTTACGTGCACGCCGGTATCCCACTTATTATTTTTGAAGTATATCCTGATTTCAGTATCCTGGATAAGCCTTTATCCCGGTTTTGAGAGTACCCTGTAAATAACTATAAGCCAGTAAAAGGACGTCTCTCTCCATTCAGTATCATTTAATTCCATCGTGACGACCCGATCCCACAAGTCAGACACCAGAGGGAGGATTTTCCCGAGCAACAAGCGCCAAATACATCTCAACAACATATTGTTTTTGAGCTCTAGTCGCACGTCGCCAAGTGATGATCGGTTAAAGAAAAGATCAACGCAGGCATTTTGCATATTTATCATTAATGAGCCAACTCCTCCACAGAGCTAATGCTTTTAACCCAGAATCACACCACTTATAAAACCCTGAGGGGAAACTTTATCTGGTTCTTTTTTTTTCTTCTAACATCGCAGCTTTAGGGGAGATGAAGAGGAGACTTTGAGGTTTTCCTCCGTAGACAGTTCATGAACTTTTTATGTGTCTGATCTTCTCGCAGTACCTCGGGAAGTCCCTGTGTTGGTTCCTCGTGGGAAGGTTTTCTTGTACTTCAATAGAGCTGAAGGGAATCTTTAACCTACCGGACGTTTAATGGGATTCAGACATGTTTTAATTTTGATGTTTTCTGCTCAAACCTCCACCAAGGACCGACAGTCCCCTCGATGGGTTGATTCCTGACTGAATCCACATGATCTTAGCTACACAGTTTTTTTCAGTTGCAGGTTTGTAGCTCTGAATTCATTTAAAACAAATCAAGTGCTCATTGGGATCTTTTGTTTTCTGCATTTGTGTATTTCCAGTATTTTCCTGAAGGAGCTAGTGAACTATGAGCAGCTACCAGAGGACGTTGGTCACTGCTTCGTCACCTGGGTGAGACGTCTGACCCCTGACTTCATACATCTGACCTCTGACCTTTCGATTAGAGGATCGGGGAATAAATAGAGTCACTGTTGAATATAATATTGAGCCTCCTCTCCTGTTTTCCAGGCTGATAAATTCCACATTTATGTGGATTACTGTAAGAACAAACCAGACTCCAGTCAGCTCATACTGGAGCACGCCGGCACCTTCTTCGATGTGAGTAAATCCTTCAGTGTTTATTCCGTCACCGCTCCGTTCACAACTCGAATCGTGAACAATAGTACAAATTAAAACAAAACATTTATTCTTTATTATCATTTCATATTAAGATTGTTAATGTTACTTCGAGCATGCAGCTGCAGGTCGTCTATGTAGTTCACCTGTCTTTCAGCAGAGGGCGCTGTCTGATCATTGAAAACATTCCCTGCAGAATAACATTTACAACAATTCCTCATCTGTTGTTTTGTTTTGGTATTTGCTGTAACTCTGTCTTTGTGTGCATGAACAGGACATTCAGCAGAGACGTGGACTGGCCAACTCCATCTCCTCCTACCTCATCAAACCAGTCCAGAGGATCACCAAGTACCAACTACTGCTGAAGGTACAGTGCACACGCAGCACACGCAGCTTTGCTCTCCGTCATTTCCTCTGTTCTTGATTTATATCCTCTCTTGGTGCAGGAGTTGTTGTCTTGCTGTGAAGAAGGTAAAGGGGAGATCAAAGATGGGCTGGAGGTGATGCTCAGTGTTCCTAAGAGAGCGAATGATGCCATGCACCTTGCCATGTTGGAGGGTGAGATCCTGTCTGATCTCGTAAAATATATCATATCATTGTTTCCTGTTCAGCTGAATGACTTACTGTGAGGTCGGGCTTCGGGCAGTTTGAACTCTTCCCTTTCCCTCCTCTTCCTCAGGCTTTGAGGAGAACCTGGAGGTGCAGGGCGAGCTCCTCCTCCAGGACTCCTTCCTGGTCTGGGAGCCAAAGTCTTTGATCAGGAAGGGGCGGGACCGGCACCTCTTCCTGTTTGAGTTCTCGCTCGTCTTCAGCAAAGACATTAAAGACTCAGCTGGCAGAACCAAGTACCAGTACAAGAACAGACTACTGGTGTGTGTGTTTGTACTGTAGCTACACGTGCTAACTGTTGCTAACTCACAAGTCTGATAAACATCTCTCCCCTCTCGCTCTGCTGCAGACGTCTGAGTTGGGGGTAACCGAGCACATTGAGGGTGACCCGTGTAAATTTGCCCTGTGGGCAGGAAGAACCCCTTCCTCTGACAATAAAACTGTGCTAAAAGTGAGTTGAAACTTTTATGCATATAAGATTTGTCTCCTGAACTCCGATTAAATGGTTTGCCATCAGAGTAAGATGTCAATAATAATGTTAATAATAACGATAATAACATCGGTCGCATCTTTTCCAGGCGTCCAGTATGGAAGCTAAACAGGAGTGGATTAAAAACATCAGGGAGGTGATCCAGGAGAGGATGACTCACCTGAAGGGGGCGCTCAAGGAGCCACTTCATCTGCCCAAAACACCAGCACTGAACAAACCCAGGAACAACACGAAGAGGTAAACAAGGACATGAACAGACACATGACACACAGAGGACAGAGGAGGTATCACCTCAGGTAGAAAGATCATCAGGTTCATCACTGAGGAAAGAAAACATTTCATTTAAGGCTCGACACATTTTGAACTTTCTTTATTGAGGTCAGGAAAAAAAATTCAGAGGGTTGGATTTATCTCTTATTTCGTTTATCTTCATGAGGGAGAAGCTCAGCCTGCAGACGGGGAACGAATCTCCTGTAAATTCAGTGAAATGTACAGAGCCACTTGACTTTTCCCCACTGGAGAGTTTAAATTGAGACATTGATCCTGATTGTGTGTGTGTGTGTGTGTGTTTTCAGGGAGGGCTGTGAAGATGGAGACAGTCAGGGAGATGGCAGCAGCCAACCAGACACCATCTCCATCGCTTCCCGGACGTCCCAGAACACTGTAGACAGCGACAAGGTAGGACACACTCACATGAATGATGGAGGACGAGTGGACGGCAGCTGATTAAGATTCGCTGGCTGGTCACATGCTCTGTTGTTCTGACTTTGGTGAGTTCACGTGGTCTGAAGTCAGAATGTGGAGAAAACATGGACGCTGACGTGTTCAGAGCGTTTAAACAATACCTGGAAACCTCGTCATAACATTAGCCGAGTGGCGAAGAGGAAATTAAAAAAGGATCAGGTGCGACAGACGTAAATTATTAATTGGCTTATAAACGGTGACGTCAGTGACTCCTTGTTGTTTTTCCAGTGTTCTAGTGAATTTTCTCAGTTGGGAACTAATTTTTCCGATTATTTCAACACCACATGAACGCACTATCACCCTGCAGCCCGTGACAAGCTAATGACCCACAGCTGCCTCTGTGCTACAGGGTCTCCCGTGCAGCTACAATGGGCAGAAGCAGGGGCTGTGGTCCTGACAGTGTGTTTGAGCACATTTCAGAAAGTGCTGCGAGATGCATGAAGCTCCATAGTTGTGTGTCTGTGAGCGAGTGACACTCATCATTAGGTTTACGTGTAGGTTAAGGTTACGTGTGCATGAGGGGTATTCGGCAATGTTACCACGGGAACAGAGAAGCAGAGGGTGATGAAAAACCTCTTCAGGTTGTGTGCAGGCGTCTGCGCTGATGCCTCCTACCAGCCAGTGTCTGTAAGTCTGGATTTAAACTTTTATTTTGACGGTCTAATTGTGTTGAAGTGAGTCGTGTGAATAAACATCTTTTTTTTTTTAAAATGAAGTCAGAGGATTGAACAGTTTTACATTTACATACACTTCTGAATAGTTCATCATCTCTCCACAGACAAACCAGGACACTTTGAATTATTATCGTCGTGTTGAGTTCAGTTGTGTTGCTTTGTTTAGAAACAAGCAACAACAGCAGAAATCTAAAGAACAGACTGTTTTTTGTTTTGATTTTAGCTGTTGTTCTTCAGCGCTACTACAGCACCGCCCCTCTCACCGCGAGACGCACGCACACACACACACACACAGAAACACACACACACACACACACACCCACCCACACAGATGTCCTTCATGGCCTCCCACTGTAGGGTTACACAGTGTGGCCTTTTCACCGAGCAACCCCACGCCTACACACTTAGCCTGCCTCTAAATGTCAGCAACACACACACACACACACACACAC